TTTCTATTTTAACTATTGGCAGGACAGAACTTACTATGTTTATGTGATAGTATATTTTTCATTGACTGCATGTAATAAGTAATTTGTCTTCACCATGTTAAAAACATACACAAAGTATTCTCTGGAATGAGTATTTTAACTGAGCAACTGTGTTGCTAAGTGTGTTGACTGTAATATGAAATCTTACCTTACTCAAAATTGTTCAGATAAATATATGTTGATTTCAGGGATCTGTAAAGCAATTAATTTCAGACAAATGCATTATTTGCAACATATGTTCATAACTGTTAAAGCCTATGAAAATAATGAGTGTTTAGCTGTAATTATTTCTCTTCTTTTTAATTTGGGCATTCTCTTTTAGCTTGAGAAATTATAATACATGTAGATCAATACTCTAGAGTTCTTTGGGCTGGATTGATTTTTTTTCTCAAGAGGTTTACATTCCATTTCTTATAAAAACACTTTATCCCTATTAAAATGATGCTACTGAATGGCATTTCCATTTGAAATGAAGGGGATACCAAATACTTGGATTAATTTGCACTCTTAAGATGGCCTATACACTTTCATTTAACTGCAACACATTTGTTGTGTAGAAGCATGTGGATTTTAGTATCAGATTTATTTAGTAACTGCTGATTTTTTAAAATGCAATCTTCCAAAACCGACATGGGGAACTTATTTTTCCTTCTTGTATTTATCACTATAAAAGGTTATAAATATATTTTAACAAGCCTATTCTGTTTTCCAAAGGAACCCAATGTTATGGATCAACTTGGCCATTTAACTTTAGCTATATCGGAATATACAAGGTGTACCAAAAGTCAGTCCCCATAGGCCAGTCACAATATGTTTTATTAATTAATATTTTTCATGTTACTGTACTTGGGAATGTTGAAAGGTCATGCATCAAACAAGTAAGGATTTACAAGAAAAACAACCAATTTGAACATTTAATATAATTTATATAATAAATTGTCTATTGGGCCTGACTTTTGGTATATGCTCTATATACTTGATATATGAGACAACAATGAAATTGCTTAATAGTAAACAAAAATAAAAGAACTCTTCCCCTTATACTCATTATTATAATACAGAGGTTCTTGGATTTTTTAAATTATAAGTTTTAAATGAAATATTTAAAATGTACATTGAGATACTATGTATTACAATTTGTTTGTTTTAGTAAAATAAACTATTAATGAAGTTCTGGTTTTGTACATAGTGCTTAGGCTGCATTTTGGCTTTCAGATGATACATACTTATTGTGCAAGTATTAAATTGGTAAGAAAAGATACTATACTTGACCTTAACCAAAACACCCAGAAGGTATTGCTGCATAAGCAGTTAACTAGGGTCTTTTTTTATTTTATTTTATGCTGTTTATTTGTTCCATATAATGGTCCTGGTCTTTGAGCATATATAAATAAACTAATAAGGTGCAAATGGATCCACGCAAGGGAACTCTTATATCTTTCTGCAGCTGCTCTCACACTCTGATTTACACTCTGAATCTTGGCCAGAAGATGTCTCAACCCTCCAGATTTGGGAGTCATGGATGTTTTGAAGGGAGAGGGAATCTGTTCTGTTTCATAAGACAGATATAATTGGATATTGTCCATAGTTTTCTGGACTAAGTTGACTCAGATGGCCTTTTTTCCCTGTTGATTTGCTGACTTTGTCATAGGCTTGATAATAAATATCTTTAAAAGCCAGATAATAAATAAATCTAGATATGCAAACCATAAACATTTTATACCTTGCGTTTCAATTTTTATATTACTTTAAATATATGAGAAATAACTACCACTAGCATCCTTTATTAGCAACATGAATATTTTATTCCTATGGTTGTTTTTAATACGTAGATTTCAATTTAAAAATATTATCTCTGAGTATAACCAAATGCTGTTGCTTATATAGAGGAGCCTTCATTAATGCGCTGGTCAAAGAAACATCATGGCAAAAGGGACACAACAACATCTCCATACAAAATGAAAGGGCTTGTTTTGTTTCTGCATGGAGATGAACTAATGATGTAGGTCTTCAAAGTATTGAATCCCATTTACTTCAACATTGAATTGTCAAAATCTATAATTATTTCCATCAGTGAGACCTCAGTGCATCTGAAGGCTTAAAGTGTGCTTATCTTTAAGTGCCAATCAGCTTTTATCAGAAACATCACAACTGCTGAGCAGTGCCAAACTTTGTTCAAGTATTTGTAATTTGCTAAGTTGATTATGTTACTTTCTGCCTAAGTTTGCAAGGATAAAAGGATGGATGGATAAGAAGAAGGGAGAAAGGGATGACTTATCTTTAAGTGCCAATCAGCTTTTATCAGAAACATCACAACTGCTGAGCAGTGCCAAACTTTGTTCAAGTATTTGTAATTTGCTAAGTTGATTATGTTACTTTCTGCCTAAGTTTGCAAGGATAAAAGGATGGATGGATAAGAAGAAGGGAGAAAGGGATGAGGTGGAGATCTTGCATGATCATCCTTCCATTTATAAAAGGCTCTTCATTCAAAATATTCTGATTTGTAATCTGAAGTGCACAAAGGTATTGAAAGAACTATAGTGCAAATGTGTGTATGCCTTCAAATCAGCTTTTTGACTCCTGGTGATTGTGTGGACTAGTCCCTGCAGTTTTCTTGGCAAGGTTTTTCAGAAGTGGTTTGCCATTGCCTCCTTCCTAGGGCTGAGAGAGGGCTGAGGCCTAAGGTCACCCATCTGGCTTCATGCCTAAAGCAGGACTAGAACTCACAGTCTCCCAGTTTCTAGCCTGATGCCTTAACCACTAAAACAAACTGGCTGTCATAGTGCAGGTAGATATTACATAATTAAGAATTAATTTTATCAAACAGACTCCCTTATATTAAAAGCCTATACTGATAGGTGAAAACATTAAATACATTGTTTATATGACACACAGAATAATTTCTAAGATAATTTTAATAAGCATCAGTATACTGTGTTATGTTTCTTTGTTTAGTCCTAACTAAAGTCTATAGCCTCTTCATTGCAGTATTCAAGGAAGCTGTGAAGACTGAGCAAATATCAAGGATGAGAACAGGGTTTAGAAATATTTGAGCTGTCTATAAAACTGAGACAACCTGGGTCATCACTAGGTAGATGCTATAGCTTTGTCTCAGTTGAGTCTCAGTTTTTCCAATAATTTGATCACTTCTGAACTCTTCTAAGCTCTTCATAACAGAAAAACATCAAACTTCATTTTCCTTCATTTTCACCCATTCTATCCCTAGTAACATTTAATGAAAATATACTCAAAATGAAAAATGTACATTCAGGACTGCAATGTTAACTGAACAAACTGAATTGGTTTATTAAAGAAAGTTATCCTTCCCTGCTTAGCTGAACCTCAGAAAGTCCAGAGAGAGATTTTTTAGCTATTCCAGGTTAAGCAAGGAAGATTTCTGTATCTAACCATGAATCTCTCATTGTTCTTGAGATAGTGGTGAGAGAATATTATTCACTTGTCTGAGGCCATATTTACTTGCAGATACTGTATGCAAGAAGATTTTAATACCTCAAATAAATAAGTATTGGTGGAAAAACAGTATACTTTATTATTTGATTGTACTCCAGCAATTATCTTTCATAATTATTTAATTTTAAAACATAACAGTGCTTTAATTTATTTTCACTGTCTTGTTTACTTTAATAAGGATAAGCTTAAATTGCTATTTAAATACATTGTTAACTGTTAAATCTTGATTTGAAAATTATCTGTTATCTAACCACAGGTTCAAGCCAAAATGTACATAAATTACATTGAGTTATATGCTTATACACAAATTTAACAAATTAATTCATCATTAATTGACTGAATTGTGTCTAATTATAACCTTAAATTTTAATTTTATAATTAAATTTACAAATTACAAATTTATATTTGTAAATTTAATTGTGAAATAAGTTTATAAAATCAAGAATTAGGTATATGAGAAAAAGAAAATGGTTGTTCAGCTTCCATAAGCTGGTATGCTCCAGGAAGGACATGGCTACCATGGTAGAAGCAGCATGGAAGGAACGCATTAGATTATACAATTGTGCATGTTTTGAAAGTTATTCCAAATACATTGATGTGCAAATGCAGTGCCTCTTTGATACAGCTGCATCTTTTTGCCAGCTTCTATTGAGGAGTTGACTCCTTAAAAATCTCAAGTGGTCCATAGTAGTCCTTCCAGATCATTTTTGAAGCATGCATTTTTGAAGAGTGCTTTTAGATTTCAACCATGTTAATTATTATCTTCGGACTACTTCTCCCCATGTAACAGCCAGATATAAAGGGCGATGAACATAAAAGGGCTTTTCACTTCTGTTAGCATTCATGCTCTGAAATATTGACTTAGAAAATTGGAAACCTTTTTGGAGCAATTATAATGTGCAGTGAAAGGAAGATAGAAATATCAGAAATCCCTTGCACTTGTGCCCAGATCTGTTGCTGAATCTATTGAGAGCCTTTTAACTGTGGTATTGGGTTTTGATTGACTTGATCAAGACTGGGAGATAGCTTGCTCTGGTACTTGTACTTAAGACTTGTTTTCATGTTTTATTTATTTATTTAGTTAGATTTACATCCCACCTTCCCATAAGGAACTCAGATCAGTATACACAGCATCCCCCTTCCAGTTTTACCACACAACAGCCCTGTACGACAGTTTGGGCTGACAGAGAATGATTGGCCCAATGTGAGTTTCTCTGCCTAAGGGTGGACTTGAATTTGTGTGTGCCTGCTAGTAGTCCAACACTTTCACCACACCATACTGGCTCTCTCCACTTCCAAAAAATGACAGTTTTCATTTAAATTAGAATAGCATTTTAAGGATCATTTAGTTAATTTTAGCAGAGTGAGTTCTCCACTGTGTTTAATAAAATGACTATAGTCCACAGAAGAAAACTCCAAAAAGTCTTTAAGATACTATAAGATGTTGAAAATTGAAGACAATCTCTCTCTCTTTCTCTCTCTTTTTGCAGTTGCTGTGATTGGCTTATAAACATTTGCCAGAGAAAAAAAGAACTTAAAGCACGCACAGTATGGCTTGGATGTCCTGAAAAATGTGAAGAAAAGTATCCAAGAAATGCTATAAAAAACCAAAAATATAATGTCTTTACATTTATACCTGGGGTAAGGCAACCTAAAGATATCCTTAGTTTAAATGCTATATGTATATGCATATTGTATTTTACAATATTATTACATGATGTTTAAGAGGTTTTAATTGTATAATCTTTCTTGTAATAGTTTCCCACTGAAGAATTTTTTTCTTGTAGGGAAGAGTTAACTGAGAGCAAAGTAGGATTAGGGGCTGGTCAGATTTCAATGTTTAGTCTTCCAAAACAGAAAATTTGTTTTCAAAAGAAATAACTTTTATGTAACAAATGAAATATTCTGGTGATTATAGCACATTTAGCAACATCTTTTAAAATCAGTGACTGATTTTATATTTATTTGGTAGCACAGCATTAAAAACAATAAAACTCCAACAATAAATATTATCAGTTTTCTAAATTATGTGATTAATTTTAATCAGTTCCTGCCTATATATTTGGTAATTAATATTTTATGCCTGCAGTATGTATAAATAAAAATTCCTCTTAATAAAGTATTCAGCTAAAAACGATATAAACATTTCAGATGCATGGCTTGACAACCACTTAAATTGTCAGGGAAGAAATAAATAGAAAAATGGATTTTAATTATTTTAAAAAAAATCTGTGTTGTTATATACAATAAGTGAAATGTATATGCTACATTTTATATGTTAGTGAAGGTATAACCAGTATTCAGAAATCAATTTTTACCAAATTTGTTTTGTAAAACAGCTGTAAAAAGCATTTATGTGCTCTCATTTGAGAGATTTTCTTAAAGAGTTAATTTGCCCTTTTTACAATTGTAAAACTGTCAGAGTGAGACTTCAGTTGTGGGCTATGAGAGAAGGAACATTTTTTTCTTTGTGTCCATGAGTAAAGTAACCCTCTTTTAAATGCAGAATAAATGGTTAGAAAGTTCATTTTCCAGTATGGCTAGTGGTACAGATTACAAGAAAACCCATAAATATAGTAATTCCTTTTATATAAAAAAGTATATATTGTACTGCCTATTATGTGTACTATAGGCGTATAACAAAACCCCTTATTAAGTAAATCCAGTTTAAAATAACATTCCTGTCCCTTCAGATGTTGTTTTTGCTTATTATGGTTTTCAAGATGCAGAATTCTTTTCAGTACTGACAATAATAATTTGTTGTAATACAATTTGTGCAAATCACAAAAGGGCACAGTTTGGCATTTTTTGTTCTTTGACTAATTTCACTAAATTCTATTATGACTTTAGCATTGATTCTTTGGATAGTTAGTCTTGTACTTTCTAATTTAATATTTGACTGAAAAGTAACTCTTGAGGGAGAGGTGTTTCAATGAGTATAAAATAAACAGGCTATTATATACTGTGCCTTTTACTGCAGTAATAAATTGCTTTGTTTTTTGTTGACAAGAATGCTGCGTCTTTCAAATCTTAATTTCAATAAGAATGCAGATTTTCTAATTGTTATGCATTGGTTTTCTCTCCACTACCCCTACTCACCAATGCTATTCAACTAACTGGTACGTGAATGAATATTTCTAGTACTCCCCCCATCCTTATTAAAAAGACAAAAAAAGTGAGTTCATAATGTGTTTTCTTTTGAGTATTAATGTCAGTTGTTTTCATGCAGACAAATATTTTCATTTTTGCATGAAACCTATATTTTGTCTATTTACACTTAAAGGTCATTAAATATATATTTAGTCATTGATTACTATAGTTAAATGCACGACGTGTATTTCAGAGGTTTAGGCAGAATCCTAATGCCTATAAAGATCTCCCTTGATTTGTGAACACCTGTTGGCATATCCAGATGCATTATTAGCCATGGAATATTTTTTTCTTAAACTTTTCCTTAGGAAATGGAGTAGTTCGAAAGCGTTTTGTAATTGCACAGTTGGAACCCTATTCTGGCTTTAGTATGAATACCAATTACTGAGCTATTAATTGATGCTAACTGAGATTTTAAATTAATTAGTGGTGAGGGAGGAAATATTGTTACCCTGCTGAGATTAATTTATATGAGAATTTAAACATTCTAGAAGAAAATAATTATGTTTCATTGTAAATATAAACACAGTATTGCTCCAGCATAGTTCTTAGCTTCTGCTTGCAGTTTAGTAATAACTGCTAAACCAATTTGACTTTCCTTGTATTGAAATTTCCATAATATGTTGGTTTGTCTGAAGCTTACATTGATTGTAATGTGTTCCACCCACCTACAGTCTTTTGGGTAACATTCTTTATTTTCATAATAAAAATGGAAATGTATTTAAAATCAATTACAGTATTAACATTTTCTTCTAAAGGTAGCTAGGGATAATGGCCGAACAGAGTGACAAGTTATATTATGCTGATTTTATAGTACAATAAATTCAGAGGAATTATTTTGTGTCACATACTATTTTCTCTTATAATTGTATTCTGTGTGGAAAAAAAGATGCACTTTTCTTTCTTGTATTCATTATTTTTGTTGCTAATAGATATACAACATTAGAAAAAACTGGGATATGATTTTTATTACATTGATTTCTTGAATAGTAACTAGGTACAAGCTGTATGCTTGAAAGACTCTTCTATTAGCAAATGCATTATTTTCTGAGCCCTATTTAAAGACAGAGTTTATCAACCTTGTAAGTTTATTTATAAGAATTACTAAAATAATCTGTGTCTGTTTTTTTTTAAAAATGTTCAAAATTGTATGTAAATGATAAATATTAATTCTCCTACATAGGGGGTAAATTCTAGGTAGAAATGTTCATTACTACTGTTAACCTCCTTTGGATTAGAATAAAATATTCAGTTGTTCTAAATGAAGCACCAACATTTTAAGCTGTGATTTTGGTTGTATATAAAATGTTCTGTAGCAGTGCTTTTGGAAGTGCCATTTTCTGGTTTTCTTTTTTCTTTCACTTTAGGTTTTATACGAACAATTCAAGTTTTTCTTGAACCTTTATTTTCTGGTAGTCTCCTGCTCACAGTTTGTACCGGCACTGAAAATAGGCTACCTCTACACCTATTGGGCTCCTCTGGTAAACGCAAAAAGCTATAAAACTATTTTGTTTCTTTAGACAGTGAGTATGCTGGTTTGCATATGTCAGAGGGTCAGGAGATTAAGCCCTCATTGTTAATGATTAAGAGATCATTAGTGTTACATGTTCCTTCCCTTCCTCTTTTGAATTCCTTCTGTGCCCTAACTGTGGCCTCCAAATATTTTGACCATATTGGCTGGGGGTAAAATGGGTTGGCCAAAATATCTGAAGGATGCTAGTTTGCCTGGGTTGTTGCTTTGACTGCATTTAGATGAATGTAATCACCAGCATTCCTCTTAAAGCTAACACTGTAATTAACATTCAACTCACTGTAACCATGGCAATAACCTTTATATAGATTGGGGTATTTGAATGAGCTGGGGGAATGGAGCACATGATTCTGAGAGGGAACGAGGGATGGGATAGCTTTTGCCTCTTAATCTTTTAAGTATAATTAATGTGGACTGAGACAGTTTTTAAAAGTGTCTTTTAAATAAAGTTTAAAAAGTTTATTGCATACTTTATATGCAAAAAAAAAATACATTTCATTCATTAATTAAATTAAGTAATTTTAGTGAAATACTTAGTCAACTTTGGTTGATCTCAAAAAATGTAAGCTGAGGGATGGACAGTTTCAACCCTTCTAGAATCACATGGGCATATACACTCAGATACTAGGATTTTATTTGCCATTTAAAAGGGCTCAGGGTAAGATGTTAGGCCTGACTTGATTTTTTTTTTAATCTTAAACTGCAGGAGGTTAGTGCACTCAGACAATTTGCAGGTTTCCATATATTCTCAGTAATGAACATTCTTAAAGTTCCATATTAAGAAGCCAGTTTTGGTTTGAAGTTTGATGTCTCCAGCCTTTGATAAATAATCTATTTGTCCCAGCAGAAAGAAGGTAGTCTTTGGTTAATCCAGTGGAATTTATTTTATTTTCCATTGAAAATGAAGATGAGTTATCTACTAGAACGAATAGTGCCAGGCCCAGTCGGGAAAAAATCAGTTTCAGCCAGTATGCCATTACTAACCTCCAACCCTATATTCAGTCTAGGCAACCCTGCCTGTATTTGGATACAGGGTCATCAGAAAATATCACGGCTGTACAATAGATTAGGAAATCAGAAAAGCATTCCAGAAGAAGTCCATGGCAAGCCATTATCATATTGTTGCCAAGAAAACTACATGGACGTTAAATGTATACTTTTACTTTTGGAGTATATTCCATTTGGAGTATACTCAACTCTATAATTGCGTTTTATACTCTGTGAAAGCATTACACTTTTTTTAAAAAATAAAACATTACTTTTTTTGTAACTTAATTTCATTTTTTAAAAATCATACTTGTTTGCCTGTTCTTGTTAATGATCTTTTGTCCTGCATCAGCATAACATTTAAGCAAGCAAGTTATCTCTCTGCCTACAATTAAAGGTGCTAATTGAAAGTGGGAAGTTTTCAATATAAATTCATTTGATAGAAATAACAAAGACTAGGGAAGCTGATAAACATTTACATTACAAAGCTTCCATAAAATTGCCTCATATTGGTATATATATAAGACATTTCACCTCAAATTGTTAGATTCAGGAGACTAGTAAAAAGTTCATGTTGATTGAAATGTTTTTAAAAAAAACTTGGGATTATAATCAAAATAATCTGTTTCAGGAGTCCTCAAAATACAACTTCAGTGTTTTTCCTTTTCTAATAGGAAAACTTGGGTACACATATTATTTATTTAATATATTTCTATACCAGTTGCTTATAACTGGTTAAGGCAGGGGTTCACAATACGGATCCAAAACAATAATAACCATGTCCAAAAAGCACAAATACATTCTAAACAATCAGTTCTCCACGAATAGCAGTAATCATATACAATAAAAAAGCATAGGTCCAATCCTAAAATATTGAAGCAATAATCTTAAATAACATATTCTTAGGGAGTGAGAGAGGTTTGGGAATAAAAATAAGGTTTTGACTTCTTAAAACAAGTCCAAGAAGGAGCAGTCTGAACTTCTACAAAAATTGTTCCCCCTCTGGCTTGTTTTAAGAAGCCAGCTTCTTTCTAGGGAAAGAAAGAACAGTTTAAACTTCACAATTAAAATTAAGTAAGTTCACTAGGATCCAGATAACATCTTCAAAAATTGCATTAACTGTTACATGGCTATTTTTAATCTAGCATTTACTGCTGTTTCAGGCTAAAGTAACAAATGTTATACATTTGTTTGGAAATGCCACTGATTTCACAGAATAAGAGAATATGTCTGTCAATCACTTCAAACTTTAGGTTATCTAAAAGTTAGAAGCAAAAAACTCTTTTGAAAGAAATGGTCATTTCTGCATTTCTGTTTTTCTTTACAGGGAAACACACTAGACAGTTTTTACCATGTGTTTCACTATTTATTGTGGAGATCAGGAGATGGTTCAGACATTGCATCAAAACCATTTTTTGGCATTATTTATTTTGGTCTTAGGCACATATTTTGTCTCCTTTCCTCCTTTTAGGCAGGCAGTACTTTGCCATTTAATCCAAATCAATATTTGATGGTGTTTGCTTGTTCTTCAGATTGATTAACCAAGACCAAATCCTGGTATCTACACAAATAATACTTGCTAGTTTATCTCAAATATGGAAATAGGGGAGATGACAGAGCACATTCATTCAAGGCCTTTACCTGCCTTAATCAGAGAGCAGAAAATTAAGACTTGCTATTATATTTGAATCATCCCACTGTTATACATAGAAATTCCTCTAGAATTATTTTGATGGGAAGAGATTCTGTAAAATACTATTACTGTATCTTTGGATATGTTTATAGGTGTTATTAGATTTATTAGTTAAGCTCAGGTTTTGATATATGCTCTAAAACACCCTTAAAACACCCTTTTGAAATGAATATATTCACATAGTTTTCGAATCTATTGCTAAATGCTCTGTATATTTTAATAGAAATATTTTCCATTTAGGGAAATATTTGTTATATTTTAAATAGGGATTTGTTTTGGCTGTCACTGTTCTGCGGGAAGCGGTTGATGAATTTCGTCGTTACCAGCGAGACAAGGAAATGAACTCTCAGTTATACAGCAAGCTTACAGTACGAGGTTAGCAATCTTTTTTTCATATGAATACTGGGCATCATTCCTGTCTTGTAGTTTCTACCATTTACAGTTAAACCAGGTTTGCATGATTTTTGACGTATCATTCCACATACAGCATATAAACTATATAACCTACCAAATGATCGCTAGCACAAAAGATTATCAGTCTCAAATCAAAAGAAGTGGTTAGCAAACTGGTATAAATTGACCATACATCATCAATGAATTCCCTTCAGTGAGATAGGTCACAGCTTGTGCAGGCATGGTTGATGTTGTGAAGGGAAATCAACAGACTTATATAACTTGTATAACTAAAATAAATATTACATACTAGCCAATGTCACTTAAATAAGGTATTAAGAAATTGAGTTCATCATGAAGAATTGAATCCAATAATGTCATTAACGTCATCCAAATGATTTTCTTTGTAGAAATATTCTGCTATATTCATAAATGTTGATTTTATTTATTTTACAATCATTGCAATCTTCTTGAGCCATTCATGTGTAATGAATTATGATAGGCACTTAATTGTGTTCTAGTTGCACATAAGGCTTTAGGCAAAGGCTTGTGCCTTGGTGGACTATAAAGCTTGAATATGCAGCCACTTCTGACAGCTTTGGACTTTTTTATTGGCAATTACACAGATGGTGAAGAGTGTTTTTAGCCTGTGAGATGTGTTTAGAAGGAAAAATAGTTTACAAAAATAATTTATGCAGTGAATAGCATTTGACAGTTTTCCAAATTATCTTTTCAGAGTTATAATATATATTTTGTTTTCTGAAATGGTATCCAGTGATTACTTCTGATAGATAAAGAGTTGTTTGTTGATACCTTAAGGTTTTCATACATATAATTGCTAAGGCACATTCTACTAACCTCACTTCAGACAAGGAACATGAATAACAGTTATCTGAAATTGTACGTTCTTGTTGGCACATGCTTCCTTCATCCTACCAAATGTATACATTGTATACTTTAGAATAACATCTTGATACACAGTTTTTCTGTAAAAGGTATCTTACATCGTGAAGGCTGCTCTTGTGGTCTTGCAGAATGTGAAACCCAGGGCAGATAGGCATTTTCTGAAAAAGAATATAGCAGAAGGATGAGTAAACTGCTATCATCTTGTTTTGAGTTATAGTTCCAGAAATGAATGTGACATCTTCCCAATATTTATTTGGGATGTAGAAATATAGGTAGATTGGCAACATTACATTAGCTTGTCTTCTTGGAGTAGTACTTAAGGTATACAAGATGAACAAGAGGCTGCTAGGGATTGAATAGCAGCTGTGGTATGCTTAGGTAGCAATTATTCTTTAATGTTAAATTTAGGCTGTCAAGTTAAAAACCTGAATTTTGGGGACTTCAAACAGCATTTGCTAGAAATCTAATGTAAGGCATAGGTTCGGATTTCAGTGTATGAAAGAGAAGTTAGGAAGGAAATATGTTGCAGCTGTTAAATTCTGGCAAGGTTATTCAAATTCTCATGGCACTTATACTGCAAATATAATACAGCCGTTCTAATATTATTTTCTGAAAAATGTTGGAATGTCGAAGTGCATTTATTCTAGCTATAATTTATAATTCTGCGATAACCTAAAATATTCCTTACATTTATTTTTAAAATATCCAACTCACATTTCTAGGATATTTGAAACAGAGTTGCCTGATTTTTGATGTAGTTATATGTAGCTTAATTTTCATAAAATAAACTTTAAAAAAATGGTTTATGGCTTAAGAACAATTATACTGTCCACAAAAGAACTGGTTTCCTACATATTGAAATCAGGTGTACTCTACATGATTTCATTATTTGGTAATTGAAATATCCTTTTTCAAACCACATTCCTATACACAGTAACTAGTAATAAATCTCTTTACAGTCAATTGTTCTGTCATCTGAGAAGACATGTATTACACTGAACTCCTGAGATCCAAATACTTCTTTTATTTTTTAACTCACCAGACAGTTTTTTTCCCCTAATACAATTAGCACATAATTTATTCCAACAGCATGAGACCATAGCATTTTGATATAGTTTAAATGTAACAAGGAAAAATATTCTTCCTCAGTATCTTTGCTACTGGATATTGAAAATATCTAAAATGTATTTAGAAATGATAGTGGTTTTAATTTTTAAAACTAGTAATTAAACTTTTAAGCTTTTTTTTCTGTTAGTTTAATAAAAATTTCACAAGAGGAAGGATAGAAACAATGTAACAGTAGAAGTTCTGTGATTTCTGGATCATTGCTTATGTTAATTTTTTCTTTCTTTAAAGGTAAAGTGCAAGTTAAAAGCTCAGACATTCAAGTTGGAGACCTCATCATAGTGGAAAAGGTTATTGTCTCTCCGTTTTTTATTAGTTTATAAACATTTTAAATGTGTTTTTCTGTTCTGTTTGTTCTAGACATTACCTACCCATTAATATTTCAAGCTGCCCTGTAATAAAGATTAAAATGCAAAATTGACAGTGTTTTGCTGGCAATCATGTATTTTGCAGACTTACTATGTAGTTCTTTGGATTTGTTCTGCATGGCATTGTGGTGTGGTTCTATCTCTTTCCTCCTCACCATGAGGAGAGGAGAAGGATACTGAATACCATAGCTGCATTTAATGATTAGAATAGATTTTAAAACAGAGTTCAAACAATGTATGTTCATGGGAATGGAGGGGTAGGTTAAACTAAAGAGAACTATTGAGTTGAACATTTTTCTGGAATGCATGTATCATCTATCTACAGTTCTCTTTAATTTTGATTCTTGGGGAAGATGACAGACTGAAGACACCTCCATGTAAAGCAGAGCTGATGTCTGTGGACTTTAATAAGGAGCCAATTAACATATCGGCTCTTATCATCCTCTCTGGATAAGAGAGAGGGAAGGCGAGTTTGCCCAAGCTGTTTCTCCTTAAGATTGTTCTTTTCCTCACTGAGAGACCGCAAGCCAGTGATCTCAATTGGGGGGGGGAGGGATCTAGAAACGGGAATTCTCCATAATTGCTCAAACTGCAAATGGAGCCTTTTTTTAAAGAACACTAAGTTTGTACACTTCCCTTGCTAACAACCTTCTAATTGCCTATCAACTGTTTCAAAGAAGTTAGATACCTGCAAAGTGACAAGGCTGGAAATAGCCAGTGAGTGCCTTCATTCCTTATTATAAGAGTATGAAGATTTATTCTTACAGATTTTAAGAAGTTAAAATAAACAGCAAAAAGCAAGACAAGGTTTGGCTGTAGAAAGTTTTAAATGGATTAAGGGCTCAAAAAGCATTAGAAATTGGACTTTGAATATTAAGATTCTGAAATTACTATTCAAGAATAATTGCATGCATGTGGGAAAGAGAAATTGTTTTTGAGACTGAAGACATAATAAGACAAGTAATTTAAAATGGTGTTTAGAGATATCTTTGAGGAACTGCATCGGGATATTGAATCAATTCAGTCAGCTAAGTTGTGTTTTTCTGAGAACGGTCTATTCTCATAAGAAGATATTATAGAACAAGATATGCAGCAAAAGTTACCTGAGGAAAACATGAGTGAGAATCTGAATAAGACCTTCTCGGACATAAAGAACAAACTGGATGAGAATTTGAAAATTAAGAAGGAAATAAAAATGACAATCCTAGAGAGCAATTGGAATAATTTCTTTTTGTTGGAGTCACAAGAGAGATTGCTTAAAGTACTGAAGACATTTCCAACAAAGGTCACCATCTGAATGGATTACAGAGAAAGATTGTTTTGTATAGGGAAAAAAAAGGAATATAAAATGTTTATTTGGCCAAGGATAAAATGGGATGTGTTGTTATTCTGGCTGGTTCTTTTTGGATTTGGAGATATCTTAACTGGAAAAAAAAATGTTTTGTTGATTTGATTTATTTGGGTTGTTTATACTCAAGAAGGTGTTTAAGTTTTTATACTTATGCGTAATAAGGTGTTTAAGTTCTTTCCTTTATTGTTATTTTATATATCTTAATTTCATAGTACTCAATTTGGCTTCATATTTAATTGTCTTTTTATTTAAAGTAAGGAAGTTTGATCTTGTTTTTTGAAAGGAGAAACTATTTCTTGTTGTTATGCTAAATTTTATTATTTTGTGGATTTGTGGATTTTGTGGATTATTTTGTGGAATGTTTATCTGAATGGGATAAGTTGTTATTTGGGGTAAAAATGTTGTGTATTGGAGCTTGTCTTTTGTAAAGAAGGAATGGTCTCTTTTTGTTATGGTAAACCTTTCTTTTATTTTGTTTATATTGGGATATTGGGACCATTTTATGCCTTTTAAATGGGATTTTGTTTTAGCTAAGAGTGGAGATGTGGAATGTTGAA